ATCTATATATACAAGCCCTTCACAAGTCCACTGCTAAACATAGGCCTCCCCCAAGTAATGTCACAAAGCACGGTCCTGAGCCGCCTGCATCCATCGACTTCCTGCATATCTTCCGGTGTCATCCATTGGGGGTCGCCGGTACGAGGCTGCCACTCGAGAACCTTTTTCCCCATCGGTTATCGGTTCTTCGAGCTATATGCCGGCACATTGCCACTTCAGCTTACTAATCCGTTGGGCTATGTCGGTCACTCTGGTTTTACTGCGGATATCCTCATTTCTGAGTCTATCACGCAGAGAAAACCGAGCATAGCCCTCTCCATAGCTCGCCGAGCGACCTTGAGCGTCCTCATACGGCCAGCAGTGAAGGACCACGTCTCAGATCCGTAAGCCATCACTGGCAACACGCACTGGTTGTACAATCTAGTTTTCAGAGATTGAGATATACCTGACGAGAAGAGGTGTCGTACTTTCCCGAACGCTGCCCAGCCGAGTTGAATCCGTCGATTGACCTCTCGGTCGAAGTTGGACTTACCTAGTCCGACTATTTGTCCCAGGTAAACGTACTCGTCAACAACTTCGAGCATAGTGCTCCCAACAACTATCGGCTTAGGTGTGACATGGACATTAAACATGATCTTTGTTTTTTCCATGTTCATCTTAAGACCTATCCGTTGGGGGGTTGGTAATGACTAATTGTCCATTGAGGTCAATCAGCATAGTGCTTGGGTCCTACAGCGATTCTGCCATAAGGACTGTATCGTCGGCAAATCGAAGGTGAGTGATGTACTCGTCATTGATGTTAATACCGTATCCTTTCCAGTCCAGTAGCTTGATAACGTCTTCCAATGCAGCGGTGAAGAGTTTCGGGGATATAACGTCACCCTGTCTTACACCTCTCTGCAGTTGGATAGGTTTCGAACTCTGGTTCTGTCCTCGGATAGCCATCGTAGCCCTACTGTACAAACACTTCAGTACTTCGATATACCGACAGTCAACTTGGCACCGCTGATGGGACTGTAGCACCGCCCAAATTTCGACGGAATCAAGGGCTTTCTCATAGTCCACATACGCCAGACAAAGTGGCAGATTGTACTCTTCGCTCTTCTGTACAATCTGCCGCGGAGTATGTATGTGGTCTATGGTACTGAAGCCTTTTCGGAAACCGGCTTCTTCGGGAGGCTGGAAGCCGTCGAGTCTGCGTGGCGAGACGATTCGTAATGACTCTCGAAAACAGCACGTAGACGCGGCTCGGAATGGAAATCGGTCTGTGTTCTTCAAGAGAGCATTGTCGCCTTTCTTAAAGAACAAGACCACCGCACTTCTGCTCCACGCCTCCTGAGTAGTGCCACCATGGAGGACGGAATTGAAGAGCTTCTGAAGGACTTCAAGAACCGGTGTTCCACCCGCTTTCAGGAGCTCCGCTCTAATTCCATCCTCGCCTGGGGCCCTGCCGTTTTTAAGGTGCTGGAGAGCCATTCTAATCTCGCTCAGACATACGTCCGGGATATCATAGGAATAGTGTCGGATAAGACTTGCTCTTGGATCGTTACTCACACTTGCGTCTGGCTCCAACGATGATGTGTACAGCTGCCCATAGAACCTCTAAATCTCACTCAAAATCTCAGGTGTCCCGGAAACGATGCTGCAACACTCAGTCTTCAGCTTTGACAGTTGGCTCTTTCTGGCAGAGAGATCTCTGGCAAAGATTTTGGAGCCCTGGTTCCGCTCGATCGCTCCTTTAATACGAGCAGTATTAAAGTTGCGTAAGTCTCGCCGCATCGAGATCTGTCTGTTCAGTTGCCTGTGTGCTGTCAAATCTGTTGACGATTGCAGCCTCATCTCCCGTCTAACAGCCATGAGATTAAGAGTGTGATCGGAGAGTTTTTGTGTTCTTCTGCGGCGGGTCTTGCAGAACTTAGCTCCGACCGCATGGACAGTTTCCACGAGCTTGTCATTCATATCGTCCACTGAATTGCAATCTTCTAGGCACTGAAAGCGGTTACGTAACTTGAGCTGAAAGGTTTCGGGATTCTGGATTAGAGCACGAGGGGGACGGAGCGTTGACTTCATTAGACGAGACCTCTCCAACTTAACGTTTAGGTTCAGTGTGCCTCTAACCATTCGGAGATCGCTGCCAGTTTTCACCCTTGCGATCACTGAGACATCACTGAACAGTTGGCGTCTGGTCGTCATAATGAAGTCAATCTCGTTTTTTGTCGAACCGTCGGGGCTCGACCATGGTCCACTTTCTGTGGAGCCGCTTCTGGAAGAAAGAGTTCATCATAAAAAATCCCTCTTTCTCCATGAAGTCGGCCAGCTGCTGGCCCCTTGGGGTTCGTTGCTCTATCCCAAATTTCCCTACCTTCAGCTCACCGTTATTTTTTGTGCCCAATTTTACGTTGAACATATACATAAACATAACATAAACACTCACGTCTGTCACCCAGAGGGGTAGGCAGAGACTACAGACTTCCATTTGGCACGATCCTGACACACCTCTCTCGTCTCCTTCAGATCCATACACCTACGCATACATGCTCGTCGGTTAAGGGTACTCCTAATTTGGCCCGTTTTCAATAAATCGCCAATTTGGTCGATAAATTTTCGCCTAGGACGTCCCTTTCCGACTCTGCCATTCACTTCTGCACATAAATTTTCTTTGTCACTCTTTCCTCATTCATTCTTTCCACATGACCAAACCACCAAAGCATTCCTTTCTTAATCCTGGTCACAACATCATCTTGCAAACAACACTCTTCTCTTATTACACAATTTCTTACCCTGTCATTCAGATTCAGCCCTAACATACTCCTTAACGACCGCATTTCTACTGCGTTCATTCTATTCTCGTGCTTCTTCTGCCACACCCAACTTTCACTACCATACGTTAAAGTAGGGACCAACACAGAATTGTGAATTGGCATACGTGCCTTTTTCGACACATTTTGACTCTTCACAATAGAGTGCAGGGCCCCATTTACTCTATTTCCCGCATTCACTCGTCATTCTATATCCTTATCATATCTCCCATCCCTGCTAAATACGCAGCCCAAATATACAAACTCATCTACTTGCTCGATCAACTCCCCCTTCTATTCTTATTTCACAAATCGTTTTACTTTTTTCTCTTTCAAAAACCATAACCTTCGTCTTACTTGCGTTTACTTTCATACCCCTTTCTTTTAATGATCTGTTCATTAATGTAACCATCATTTGCAACTCGGCCGCCGACGACGCAAGAATAACTTGATCATCGGCGTACAAAAGGCATTTGACGGTTAACTCACCCATTCTTAATCCGCATTCTTCAACTTTCAAATTTTGCAAACAACTGTCCATAAATAGGTTGAACAGCCACGGGGAAGCCACACAGACCTGTTTGACACCTTTATGGATGTCAAACCAGTCCGAGTAGACCCCGTTGATCCTAACACAAGCACTAGAGTCCCTATAAAGAGACTCCAATGCCTGTATCAAGCCAGCGCTTAACCCAAATGAGTTCAGTGTTTGCCATAGCACATCCCTATCTACTCTGTTATAGGCCCTTTCCAAGTCCATGAACGCACAAAAAACCTTTTGGTTTTTGGCCAAAAACTTCTCCGCGATCATGCGCATGCAAAAGATTTGATCTGTACATCTCATTCCCCTTCTAAATTCCGCTTGCACATCCCAAATTTTTCCATCAGTTTCTTTCATGACCCTTTCAATAAGTACCTTAGCATACAGTTTTCCCACAATGCTAAGAAGGCTGATGCCACGGTAGTTTTTACAGTCCTGCTGCGACCCTTTTCCTTTATATACTGGGGCTATCACGGCTTTGCACCAGTCTACCGGTACCCGCTTCAGTTCCCAGCATAAATTAAACAAGGTGTGCAGCAGGCCTGTCACCACTTCCTCTCCAGCCCTTAGCATTTACGTTGAAGTCTCCCATTAACACCGTATAGTGGGTTTTGGAGGAATGCATGGCTTTAGAAATGTCTTCATACATTTCCTCCACCTCCTCATTGGGATGTTCTGACGTCGGAGCGTACTTCAGCAATACCGTTTGGTGATTCTGAGTATAAGGTACGCAACCCTCGTCGATACACTCCCAATCTTTAAAACGTTGTTAACGAGAGACTTGTGGACGATAAATCCATCACCTTCTTGAGACTGATGGTCGCCCTCCCGGTGATAGAACAAGTTGCCGGATTCGAAAATCACCGTATCCTCCCGCTCACCTCGGATAATCCTATAATATTCCAGCGCAACTTGTCTATCTCTTCTTCCAGCTCCAGGATCTTCTCGTCAGTCCTGAGGGTGCGTGCGTTAAATGTTGCCAGGTCGAGTCGTTGTATATATATATATATATATATATATATATATATATATATATATAATCGGAATCTCGGAAACGGCTCCAACGTTTTTTTTTTACGAAATTTAGTATGCAGGGGGTTTCGGGGGCAATAAATCGATCTAAATAGGACTCATTTTTAGAAATAGACAATTAAAAACTGCTACAATATCATTAGAATAATTGAAATTCAATGTCTTATGGGCTTTGTTTAACCACTAAACTGCTATGACTAGAATGAGCATATTGTGTATGAGTATGATATTTTAATAATATTATGTTACCATATAGAGACAACGTCAGAAAAAATGCTAATAATAATAATAAAAATGCAAAAAAAATGCCTATATCATCCCGTGGATGTTGTAAGAGACATAGGAAAGTTAATCAGGGGAATGGAGTTAGATTCGATAAGATAACATTATCATCGATTAGATAACAACCTCAAATAATTATAAAAGAGCGGTTGCTAACTCACCTCCCAAATATCTATAGTTATTATGACAAAAATCCCCCCTTGAGGCAATTAATGGGGGAGGCCTATGTTCAGTAGTGGTCTCTTAATGATGGTGATATTATGATGGCTTAGTAACTAAAAACATATTCACTCGTGTTTCCTTTGTTGGCAGATGCGGGCAAGGGGTTGCGGGGCAACCTCATGCGCATGCGCAGATCAGCGCTTGGTAAATCGGCGCCAACACTCTCCGCCCACGTGGTACGTATAACATTTATTTTAAATTCCTATTCATTTCTTGTAAATAATATCGAATAGTAGAAGACTAAGCAGAGATTAGAAAGGCTACCATAGACCACATACATACCCATCGGAAAATTGTACAAAAGACCGAAGAGTACAATCTGCCACTTTGCCTTGCGTATGTGGACTATGAGAAAGCCTTTGCTTCCGTCGAAATTTGGTCAGTGCTCAGTGCCTTTAGCGGTGTCAAGTTGACTGTCGGTATATCGAAGTGCTGAAGTGTTTGTACAGTAGGGCTACGATGGCTATCCGAGTACAGAACCAGTCTCTATTATCTAGATGTTAGTGCTGTTAGTCTATGCGACTAAAGAGAACCAGTCCATATCCAAATGCAGAGAGTTTGGTATATATATATATATATATATATATATTTATATACATATCAAACTGCAGAGAGGTGTAAGACAGGGTTATGTTATATCCCCGATACTCTTCACCGCTGCGTTGTAAGACGTTTTCAAACTATTGGACTGGAAAAGGATACGGTAACATCAATGTCGAGTACATCACTCACCTTCGATTTGCCGACGATATAGTCCTTATGTTAGTATCGCTCGAGGACCTAAGCTCAATGACCTCAATAGTGTCTCCCAACGGATAGGTCTTAAGATGAACATTGACAAAACAAAGATTATGTATATAAACAACTCAGCCGGGCAGCATTCGGGAAATTACGACACATCTTCTCGTTAGGTATACTTCAAAACCTGAACACGAGATTGTACAACCAGAAAATGTTGCACTGGTTGTACTTATTTATCTGCTCCTTCACTGCTAGCCGTATGAGGACGCTCAAGGTCGTTCAGAGAGCTATGGAGAGCTCGAGCTATGCTCGGGGTTTCTCTGCATATAAACTTAGAAACGAGGATATCCGCAGTAGAACCAGAGTGACCGACATAGCCCAACGGATTTGTGAGCTGAAGTGGCAATGGGCCGGCAATATACCTCAAGGAACCGACAACCGATGAGGAAAAATGTTCTCGGGATGTAGCCTCGTACCGGATGGCGTAGTTTAGGACGACTCCCCACTTGATGAAGTGACGACCTGGTAGGATATGCAGGAAGTCGATGGAAGCAGATAGTTAAGGACCGTGCTTTGTGGCATTCTTTGGTGGTGGCCTATATTAAGCAATGGACTCGTGAAGTGCTGTAATGATAATGCTGAAACATAGATCTACTCATAGTTTCCTACCTTTTTATAAAAGTTTACTCAAATTTAGTAATTATGAATAAAACGTTTTAAAACAGAAATTGTTTTGTTGCATTTGTGCTAAAATGTCTAAGTAGTACCTCTTTAATGTCAAGGAGTCCGCCTGGATCTCACACCTATTTCTGTCACCAAATACCACACCAGTGCGTGCACTGCTGTGTTCCGATTTGAAGGGTATATTTACAGGCTTATTCCGTGTAATTCCTCAGAGGTGACAACACATCCATAGTTTCATATTTTTTTACATGGTAGAGCCACGCTGCAGCTATATTATAGTTGTGGCACGAATGGGTGGGCTCGACCGGGACAAGACACGCTCTTACAGAATACCAGCGTAAAATAGCAGCGTAATGCTGCTGTGTTTCGTATGGTGAGTGTAGAGGAACCGGAGACCCTTTTTACTGGAATCGAGGCATTCCATCTTAGTACTCAGGGGTGACAACGCATTTGTATATTATTCTTAATCGAGGATAAATGTGTATGTCTATGGGCCACAGCATCCACTTACCATCAGGTGGATTGTGTGCTCGTTTGTCACCCAATGCTATAAACAAAGTATCTATATCGGAGCACTTGTTTCCTCGTTTCCACTAATAGTAGGTACATATGTGCAAAAACTTGATACACAAAGTCGCATTACTTAATATTCTTGAAACAATGGCTTTATAGATTTCTGCGTATGAAAATATACCTGAAACCATTATTTAAGCAATTAGCAGCAAGGAGCAGAAGTCCGCCGACCGAAAAGTTCCCGTCAACCTTCTCTTGTTAAACTTCTCAGGATTCAAGAGTACTATTTTTTATTATACAGAAAGAGCAATGCACGGTGTCACGTCGACCGTCGCGTCTGCCACCGCCACCGTCGCACCACAGACTTTCGCTTGTGGTGAGTTTCACTGTCCCTTACAATTGAATATCTAATCTAATCTCCCTCTAATCTAAGCTCGTTATAACCCACTTTATTTTTTATATATGTGTTTAAGCTCAAGAAGGGCAATAATTTAATGTAAAAAGTTCACTTGTGTAACTGGATTTTATTATATAGTCTGCTGTTCAGAGTTGATGAAGACAGTGATAATGTTCTACTTGCCGATGTTCGTTTAGTTACAGCCTTTGTACGTCCCACTGCTGATCACAGACCTCTTTTTATTTCCGATTTTTAGGACAAGGATATCCCCATTGAGTGTTTGCGGACGTCACATGTCTTAGAAGTATTTTTTCCTATTTCTCAGACGTGCGGGAAACCCTGCACGATGTTTTCCTGCACCGCCGAGCACGTGGTAATTATATTAAACGAGGAAGTGAGATGTCACATTTGACAGTTAGTGGTAGAGCCAGGCTGCAGCTATATTATGGCTATAGCACGAATAGTTTGGCTCGACCGGGGAAGGACCAAACACGCACAAATATCTATTAAAATATTCGTACTAATGGTTTTCGTATGGTAAGTGACTAGAACTGGAAACGTGTTTTTTGAGATGTTAACAATTTATTAGCTAAGATCGGAGACTGGTAATGCGCGGATAATGGATTTACCGAAAGTAACGCTTGACTTTCTACTGATAAAAAGACATTCCGTCTAAGTTCTCAGGTGTGAAACGCATTTTAATTTTCATCGATTATAATAAACATAGATGTCTATGGGTCACAGCATTCATTAACCGTCAGTTGGAGACTGTAAGTAGTGAGTAGAAAGTCAAGTTGTTTACCCTTACTTCAATAAAAAAAATTGGAAGCTATCCATTGCGCAGGATATATTGTACAGATTAGTTTACGAGAGACTCCGAGATGTCCGATGTAACGTCTATGCTCTAAAATTATCAGAGATATATCGGAGATAGGAATTTTTTATATGTCTGGATCGTCTAACTTAATACTAAAAGGAACGAGAAACGTACGAGACCGAATTACATTAGATTCTGAGGGTCGCGGCAATAAAACTAAAGGCACTTCAAGAAAATAAAATAATTTATTACGTACTCTGTTAGTCTGGTAAAATCTTAATGTGTTTTGTACATGCACATAACTTGTGTATCATATTTATGTGTATAAAGTTAGTTAAAGTTACAGCCTATATACGTCCCACTGCCGGGCACAGGCCTCCTCTCTTTTCTGAGAGGGTTTTAGGGCAAGGAAGTGTCGAATTGGCGAACTTCACATGTCTTCGAAATATTTTTTTTTATTTCTCATGCAGGTTTCCTCGTGTTGTTCTCCTTCATCGCCGAGCACGTGGTAAATCAGCACTTAAAATTGCAATTAACAATTTCATTGATGCTGGCGGGGATCGAACTCTGATTGCTCGCGTAATGTATCTTTTAAAGCGAGTGCTAACCATCTGAGCTACCACGGCTCTTTTTATATTTATGTGTATAATGTATTGTATGATATTTATGTGTATAATGTATGTTATCCATATTTAACAAAAACGACTATTAGATCAATCTCCAATTTTTTGATCCAAATTTCAATAGTTATGTTAAATTAGTACCTACATAAATTTGTCCATAAGGTTTGAATCCGTAATCGCTACTCACTTGTTAAGTACACTTAGTCACTACCATGCTGTTTCTAAATGGTATATTTAATTGCACAGTATTGTAATTTATAATTTATTATTTATAACTATGTCGCATTTCCATTACTAGTAAAGATTAGTCCTACGGGGAAGTAAGTTTAAAACTGACTGTACAATTTCTATAAGAACGTGGTAAAAAGTAGCCGTGAACGAAAACGTGATCGGACTTTTTCCCCTTACCTATTCCTGCCGCTTATTGGCAGTGCGTGCACTGTATCTTCATCCGTAGTTTTTTTTGTTTAAGTTAGGCTAGATAATATTAGTGGTTAGGCTTTAGATGTCCGTGGACTGCAGTAACCTCTTACCATCAGGCGGACTGTAAGTTTGTTAGCCACAGTTTTCGTAACAAAAACAAGTCGCGCTGAGTTTCTTACTAATGATTTTCATGCTCGAGGTTTTTCCGAATCAGATGGTAAAAGCATACATAATCTTTAATATTACTCGTAATCTATGTTGATTATATTCTATTCTATTTTGATCTATTCTAATTTTGAATTTCAACAGATTTCATACATTGTTAGAATTCGCTTATAGACGAAATGCCGTGATGTTCCAGTACCTATCCTATACTATTAAACGAGCAATTCTTGTGTATATATATATTTTTTTATATATATATATATAAATCGGGATCTCGGAAACGGCTTCAACGATTTTTATAAAATTTAGTGTCCAGGGAGTTTCGGGGATAAAAAATCGATCTAGCTAGGATTTATTTTTAGGGAATGTCCTTTTGTCCGTGTTTTTAGACAATGAAAAACTACCACAATATGTTTAGAATAAGAAGGTAAATTTTGACAGATTGTTAATCATTATATTATATAGCTTAATTGGTATAATGGGCGGTCACAGAATCGTAAAACCCCGGTTCAAAAATATTATTATTTATATTTCATAAGTATGTAATTTGTATCTAAATATAATTTTCAAAACACGAATTAAAAAAAATCGAGCGAAAAATACCGAGCAAAGCTCGGTCAACCAGGTACTGTTTTTAAAATGTTCTTATTTTCTCTAACATGCAGATTTCTCCACAATTTTTTCCATCCATCAGCTCTTAAATCAGCGAATTTCAGCAGTTTTATCAGGGATCGAACATACTATAAAATTAAAAACGAGGACTTGTCATCTAAGTTGCTAAAATAATTAAACTCTATCATTTGGTTATTTTTATATTTATTTTCCACCTTCTGCTTTGTATTTCCATAGTTGAGTTAATCTGAACCTGTACATGTCAATAACGTAGATTGTTACAATCACAAAATAGAATGTACAAAAGGTAGTATTTAAAAACATAGCTATTGATTAAAATCCATCTAAAATCTGACCATTTGATCCATAAAATCGGACTCCACTTCTGAAATGAATTTTGATGACTCTAAACTGAAATGTGAAACTGATAATTTCGACGTACATCATCGACGTATATAAGGATTCAAGGTTATTTCTCTAGAAAAATGTAAAATAAACACTGGCTGGATTTAAATAACAAATAAACTAAAATACTAGCGCTACTCTTATCGTCCTATTTCGTATCGTGGGTGACCTAAGGGACGACTGTGGGAAATTCCAGCAAGATATCATGGCTTACGTTAGCGCGCGATATAACCATCTCGTTTTAATATCAGACGTAAAATACCTTAAAGTATGCATAAGTAAGCTTTGATTATGTATAGTAAATTACAGACTGGCGATGGGGAGCAATGTCAAAGGTTCTAGATGTCTGGTGGTGCAAACGTCAATCTACCAAAAAAGATTCGTTTGTCAAATATATATTTTTTAAACCTACTAAATCTACCACCTTTTTGAAATGACGTTACATTACAATATGATAAATACCATTAATTCTAAACTAAGAAAACAAATAATATAACAAGAAACAAATATAAAGAAACAACCAAAAGGGGGTCTTATTGCATAAACAACAATTTCTTCCAAACAACCTACTAAAAGGAAAGGTTCCCTTGACCGGAAGAAGAAACGGCTAAAGAAACGAACGGCCTAAAGACTAGGGTATCCTCTTCTTCATCCTTCTTTATGAAATCAATGTGTCATGTGCTATCACGAGACTTAATGTTCAGATTTTAGACTATCGTAGAATGTCATCTTGGATAAACCCGCTGGACCAAGGGGAGAGGTTAGTGTCCAGTACTAGACTCAGAGTTGCCGTTCTAGCGCATTTCGCGCTAGATCAAGTGCAATTCTAGGGTCTATTACGCTTTTTTTAAATATCTACGTACTAAAATATCTAGTCTACTAGTCAATTTATATTTTAGCACGTAGATATTTAAAAAAAAGCGCTATAGACGCTAGAATTGCACCAGAGCTTAGAAGGGCCATTAAAAAGAAGAAAGAGCACTGATGCGTGTACAGAGGAATAGATTACTTATATAAGCTAATAATGTAATATTGTATATACTGAGCTATTGAATGAACGGATCGTGATGTTAGAGGTCTTTAATGAATGGGTTGGAGTAAAGCGTGATGGGTATGAAGGAGTTCTGGGTATGTTTGGGGACGAGAGAGTGAATGACAATGGGAGAACCCTGCTTGAAGTATGCTTGGAATGGAATCTGTGCGTGACCAACACAATGTTTGACCACAAAAAGATCCATCTGTATACAAGAGATGAGGGTGAGTCTAGAAGTATGATTGATTTTGTAATTGTGGATGAAAGACTGAAGAAGAAAGTGCTAGACACTCGGACATACCGCGGTGTAGGCCTCGACACAGACCACTTCCTGGTCATAGCCCGAATGCGTGGCCTCTTTAAACGGTGGCGACACCGAGGGGCCGAGCCTACGAGTGTTTTGGACAGAGTAAAAGTGGAAAATCTACAAGAAAAAGAAAAGAAAGACGAGTATGTAGAGAAACTGAAAGAAAGTTTTAAAGGGATAGAAGAGATAGGAGTGATTGAAGATTTGTGGGAGACATTTAAGAAAGGGGTTGTAAATGTTGCGATTGAGGTATGCGGGGTAGCTAAAATAAGGAAAGGGAGAAAGAATGATAACGTGTGGATGGATAAAGATGTACAAAGGGTTGTGCAAGAAAAGAAGAAAGCGTGGTTGGATTGGTTAGCAACAAAAGCTAACCAAAAAGTTCAAAAGGCAACGGATGACGAGATAAACGAAGCAAGAACGAAGTATAAAAGATTGAAAACAGCAGCGAAAGAAACTGTGTCTAGAAAGAAAGAAGACCGAAAAGATGATTTCGATAGGAGGCTCACTGAAGATTTCCAGTCAAACATTAAGTTTTTCTGGAAAACCATCAAAACAGCCAGAGGAAAAACTTCTACCTCGGAGCTGAGTACA